ATTAATTCTTTGTTTAGGGATAAATTAATAGGGAAAAAATACAAATCCTTACTTTCTATATACGATAGATATATGTGTATATATATATATATATCTTCGTATATAATAAAATAACAAACAGATAGGAATAAGTAAACCAAGAATTCAATTATCTACACCTGCATCGTCCTCGTTATATTTGATACCAAAAAGAGACGCGATATATATACATATATAAATTTAGTTAAATATTAGATAACGTTACGTTTTCGAAATCGCACGTCTCAATCGAATATATTTAAACTCCTATTAATAAAACGTATAGAAAGCTTTATGGGAACTCGATATATATATATATATATATTTATAATATGTATATATTTACGATTCTTTTCTCCCCATAGGAAAAAACGAAATAACGAAGGCTGTTTCGTTTTTATATTCAATTTGAAATTAAATGGGACAAACGACAATAGATGGTAGTGGAATTAAAACAAGGAACAAAAAGGCACTTAATTCATAGAAAAAAAAAAAAAGAAAGGGAAAAAGAGAGAAAAGTGGCTCGCCTTTTTCCACACGAAAAACGTTCCTTGTGTATGAAGTACAGATCAGTGTAGACGCGCTCTGTTATCGGCCAATTTCACGCACGAACGTAACACGCAATGCGTGCTCTGCACTCAAAAGCTTGACGGAAAAGAAACCTTCTCCTCTCGTTTCACCCTTACTCTCTCTCCCATCTTTTTTTTTCCTCTCTCTCTCTCTCTCTCTGACTTCCCGCACGAAGCTTTCAGAAATGGTTTGTTGAAATATGTGTATATATACATATGTATATATATATATATATATATGCACGTGTTTGTCTATATATTACGTGTTATCGTTCAAAAAATATCGCATTAATAAATCGTGCCAATTTTAATGGATGAAAAAGAATTCAAGCTGGACAAAAATAAATGATATCAAATATAAAATCATAATGAATATATATATATATATATATATATATATATATATATATATATATGCGCATACATATAATTATGAACTTTTCGTTGCATGCTCACAGAAAAAAATCCTCGACGGAAAGTCGTAAATTAAGTTTTCTTTCGTTCGCGCAATCCTGCAGATTATTATAGTAGTCCACGAAATTACACGGAAACTCTTTGAAACGGCACAATTTTCATTCTTTGCCGTTTTTTTTTCTATTTTCTTTTTGTATTTTTATTTTTATTATTTCTCCTTTTTCCAACCTCCCTACCCACATCATGGCCCCCGCCCGCCCACTCCTAAAAAAAAAAAAGAAAAAAAGAAAAAAACGAACGCATAGCGGTGCACCCTGAAAATTGTGAACAGATTTGTAGAGTTTTGTGTGTACCCTGCGCGCTTATGTTTGGAAATTTTTTTTAAAAAAAACATTGATAAATAGTCACGGCAATAAAAAACGTAAAATGATTGTGTACGAATAATTCTTTGATTCATCCTACGTAAATAAATATTAATCCAACTAGTTCCTATAGGACTCGCGTTTGAAGACTCGCATAGATAAATTCCACATCGATATTTACATTCAACGAAACTAATTTTGGAAAATATCATTGAAACGTTTTTTTCTTCTCTCTCTCTCTCTCTCTCTCTTTCTCTCTCTCTCTTTCCCCTTTCTCTCTGCTCCCTTTTCATTTTTGATTTTTTTTATATATTGCAAAACCACGCGTAGCATAGAGCATCAATTATAAAACGAAAGATAGAAAAATCAAAGAGTCGTTCGTTACACGTGACTGTAAAACACTCGATAATACTGTAACAACAATGCAGCAGTTCATTGCCTTCTTTACAACCTCCGAGGTTACGTGATAATATTTGAACGAGGCTAATTCTCTCTCTCTCTTTTTTTTCTCTCTCCACGATATTAACCGTATGCACAGAAAATCACGATTTACTGAAACGTGCATCGATAACGTTATTAACATAGAAAAATAAATGAGTAAAAAAAGGGAAAGAAAGAAAAGGAAAAAAAATCATTCAGGTACCCTTCCCAGGTGTTAGGTATATATACATATTTGCACGTATATCGTATAGTGGAGATAATAATGAGTGAACGATGTTAATGAGGAGCGCACACGCGTTACCTACGCATATACATATGTAACTGTTCATTTTTTATCATCGTTATGTATCTCCGCTGTTACACCAACGTGGAGTCTAGGCAATGTACATACGTTTATTCGCTCGAACAGCCATGATTCCCAAGCCTCTTGCTTTAGTAGTGGTGGTTATGGTGATGCTAGTAGTATTAGTAGTAGTGTTACTACTGCCACCGCCGTTATAACCAATGGCCGTACATTTTCGTGCTCTAAGTACATTACAGGAATAACGATGGAACAATGATGTTAATGTCTGGCAATCAGTAACGGTCATTTCTACATCAGAATACGCGAGCCAACTCGATTCTATTACCGATGATTATCGTTCCTGTTCGGAACATCCAGAACCACCCTTTTTACCCTCCCTTAAGCCTCGACTCCCGTCATCCTACTTTTCTCCCTTTCCCCCCTTTGTACCTTCCAATCGAATTCGTTCGTTTCGCTCGTACAACTTTTTTAAACTGACCCCGCCATCTTCGAACGTTTTTTTTTGCTTTCGTATTTCTTTTTTTTTTTTTTTTATTTTTTTTTTCCTTTTTTTCTTTCTTAATCGATAGTAAAGAAAAAAAGGAAGTAACGAAGAAGAGGGAGAAAAATTTACGATTAAACGTTTCGCCGATTTAATGCGATTAATTAGAGAAAATAAAAAGTGTGTATCGGACAGTGTGTAACTACAAAAACGCGCTTGATCCAAATAAACTTTCAAGAAAACTTTCCAAATGTAAACTTGTCCCACCGATAAAGTAATTTCTTCGCTTGCCCAAGAGTTTTAAGACGTACAAAGGAGAAAGTTATTTTCTTTAATCCTGCCATCCCGATCATCACCACCACCTTCCCCCTCTAACCCTTCCTCACTTTCTTTAAGCGCCAACTTCCGATCAAAAGCAAATGCCGACGTTCTAATTATTTTCTTTTGAAAATATTAGAGAATTCGTTTATTCCAAAAAGAAAAAAAAAAAAAAAAAAAAAAAAAAAAGAAAGAAAAATAAAAAGAAAAGTAAAAAGAATTCAAAGACCAATTAAATAAAATGCTCACATGTGTAGATAAAATGCATTTAAATTTCTCTAAATAATAATTATAATTATATTAACTTTATATACGTGTATATATATGATTCGCATGTATACAAACAAACAAACAAATACACACACACACACACACACATATATATACGTAAAAGTCATGCTGTAGAAAGACTCTTCATAATTTTCTGATTATTCTGCACAGTGAGTTGCTCGCCGTGTCTCTCTTTTCTTTGTAAATGAATTATATATATATTTGTGTAATGTATAATGTAAAGGAACAAAATTTACATGGTATAGTATGAGTATCCCTACAGTACATACACACACACACACACACACAAACACATGTATTTAAACATTTTAAGAAATTTAAATGTACATATTTAAATATCTGCGCTTGTAAAAACGAAAGGAATAAAAAAAAAAGAAAGAAGGAAATAAAGAATAAATAATAAATAAGAATAAAGTACATTTTATAAACGAGCTCTTGCAAAAGTGTAGTATTTTGAAAAAGATTAAACAATACTCCCTCCCCGCCCTTTCCCCCTCTTTCCTATCCCATTAATAATCAACTTCGTGGAAATTTATTCATTTCTATGGCGAACGAAAATCACATAATATTATTCTATGCGCTCTGCTTCGTTCGCATTAGGTCTACGAATTGTAAGAGAACGCAACGTAAACGTGCGAGCTTGTTAGATAAGGAGACAAATCGAGAATATCCGTCAGAAAGCATCCGTGGCACCGTTAGAGAAACGTTAGCCTCCCAACGATATAACTAACTCGCTCAGGACGTTATCATCGTCGTTTAATCTGCAGCTTATGCGCGGACAACGTTGCGGGAGTGCGAGCAAGATAGAGGAAGATTTGTCATCGTGAAAGGAATCGTTTTCGTTCTCGAAAGTGGAACGGACAGAAACGTGTGTATATATATGTGTGTGTGAGTGTGTGTGTGTGTGTGTGTGTATATATGTGTGTGTGTGTTTATATATATATGTTATAATATCATCGTTCTAAATACTGATTTCGTTTCTAAATGTAGACTAGAACCCTATTCTACTAAATTTTTTTTCTCTCTCTTTCTCCCTCTCTCTCTCTCTCTCTCTCTCTCTCTCTCTTTCCCTGTTTTACATATGTATATGAGTAGTCGTATAGTTATAACAAAAGTAGTGCATTTTTCAAACATTACAAGAAAAGCAAGGGTGCATTATCGCAGAACAAAACGGTAAATGGTCTACGCTTAGGGTGAGAACGTGCTTTGCGGGAAAGTTAAAAAGTATGTCAAGGTTGCGAAGCGTGACGATACGTAGGAAAAACGTTTCTCGTCGAGGGAGGATAAAAAGAGAAAGAGAAAGAGAGAGAGAGAGAGAGAGAGAAAGAGAGAGAGAGACAGAGAAAGAGAAAGAGAGAGAGAGAGAAAGTCGTAAATCGTACGAGGGTGAGAATGAGCGCGCGCACGCAGTGTCACCGACGTTACTTGTCATAGTACGCAAGATGAAAGTATCATGATCACGTACGAATGTAGTGCGTGGGCGAAAATATATGTAGAAGTATATTAAAAGGATAGACGCACACGCGCATATTCCAAAATAAATCAGAGAGAATGAAAATGAAAATAGAATTTAAATTTTGTCTCGATTTTCATTTTTTCATCTGTGAGGTAAATGTTTTTATACAGTTTTATATATATATGTGTTTTATATATATATGTGTGTGTATGTATGTATGTATGTATGTATGTATGTATGTATGTATGTATGTATGTATGTATGTATGTATGTATGTATATGTAGACATGGAAGGTTTTATGAAAGATTCGATAGATCAATCGAATCGATATGTCTCGTTGTTTACCTTGGCGTCACGGCTCTTCATTTCCTGTCTCCTTGGTACCAAACTCTCGGCATCAGCATAAACGAGATTTCTGATGAATCCATTGAATCTTGGTTCAAAGATGACACTCGGCAGAGCTAACAGGGTAAGCTTGCTGTTGTACCAACCGGGCATACCACCGACGTAAACGTCCGAGTTACCGGACAACTTTCCAAATTCAAACTCCTTGCCGCGCGAAGTTGATACGGCGCTGACACCGTCTACCGTCAATGTTGTATTCTCGTTGGATCTGCTTATCTGTACCTTGTGCCAGTGACCGTCACCGAGGTCGTGGCCCACGGTGACGATCTGCGCGCCTCCACCGAGGTTATATCTAAGCCGTAACGCGCTTTCAACTAGTTTAACCTCGAAGAAATCGTAGGTACCACCATCGTCCGTATAAAGTAATAAACCGTTGCCCTGTTCGGTCTTGAACTCGAACTCTAAGCTACCGTTCAATGCGGCGTTCCACTTTCGGAACTGTGCGTAACTAGTCGACGAGCCATCCAAAACGAATGACAACGCTGCCTGTCCGAGTATTAAAAGAGTCATTAATATTAGGGCCATAGCCGCTGCATTTGCCCTTAACATCCAATACTTCGTGTACATTCTCGTCGCTTTCTGTTCTTTCTCCAATCGAAAAGTTTTTAATTCTCGCTATTCCTTTTCGAAAGAAGTAATCTTTCTTGTCCTTTGCTTTCTCTCTCTCTCTCTCTCTCTCTCTCTCTCTTGATCGTTATTAAATACTTTTCATCTCGGGTCTCAAAGGATACATCGAAAAAATTCCTTTACGTTACACTTGTTTACTGCCCACCGGCTTCCCGTAGCTCTTTGTTGCTAGAAAGTGCGCGCATTGGCTGCAGTCGCACGTGATCACGCACGCGCGCACGCTCACTTTGGTATGCGTGCGTGGGCGTCAGTCAAAGAGAGAAGGTGGACCCAGAGAGAAAGGGCTCCGGGGAGAAAAAGCGAGGGAAAATACGATATGACGGCCGTCAGTGAACAACGTGCTCGTCCTGACTGAGCGAGGATTGTTTTTTTATTTCTTTCGTTTTTTCTTCTTCTTCTTCTTTTATATAAACAAATCTACGATATGTTAGATTTCGATGTGATAGACGAATGACTGTCTCGGAGATTACGATTATTATCGAAAGACGTACGTAATCGTTTCGTCGTTTCGTTTCGACAAAATTAAAAAACTTGATTACTTTATTGACGATTCACGAAGGATCTTTTTCAATTTCCTCTTTTTCTGCTTAGAGACGACCTAACCCTTGCAACACCTCGAGACAACTCGTTCTACGTCGCTGACACACTTGCATCTATATTTGTAGTCTTTCTCTCTCTCTCTCTCTCTATCTATCTATCTATCTATCTATATCTCTTTCTCTTTCCGTCTTTTACCCAACGTCGTCGTCTTCTCGAGAGCACTACGGGTTCTCTTTCTCCGCTTTCTCCCAACTTCTACTACTACTACTTCCTCTTCTTCTTCTTCTTCTTCTTCTTCTACTTCTTCTCTCTTTTCTTTCTCTCTCTCTTCTTCTAATTCTCTTTCCACGAGCAACCCCTTTCTTTATGGTCCTATCGACGAGGCACACTCACGATCGCGACGATAAAAGAAGCACCGAGATTCTCAAGTAGATGAGTCTGTCTCTCTCGACTCGATCGAACGCCGTCTTTCTTTTCTTCTTTCTTCCTTCCTTCCTTTCTTTCTTTCTTTCTTCTTTCCTTCCTTCCTTCTTTACTTCCTTTCTTTCTCCCTTTCTTCCTTTATTTCCTTTCTTTTCGTCTATCCTTAACTATTTCTCTCACCCTTCTCCTTTTTCCCTATCTATCTATCTCTATTTCTATTTCTAACTCTATCTCTATCTTTTTCTTTCGTACTCTCGCACATATACGTTCTTCCTTGCACTCCTTGAAGCCTTAGCGACGGTCATCTGATCGCGAACGATGTCATCGCGAGCTGCTTTGACGATCTTCGTTAAGGAGAAAGAGAGATACGGTAGAAACTCCCCCCCCCCCCGATTGTCCACTATAACCAACCACCTTCCCCACCCCTAGATCAAAAGAAAAAATAAATTGTCGTTGGAACGAACGAAATCACTTTCACTGCGCGAGCGGTAGAAACTCAGAGTATGCGTGGTACGTACGCGTATACACGTACGTACGAACGTACCTACGAACGTGTACGTACGTACGTACGTACGTACGTACGTACGAACGAACGAACGAACGAACGAACGAAAGAACGAACGAACGAACGAACGTACGAATGTACGAACGAACGTACGAACGTACAAACGAACGTATAAACGTGGTCCGACCTAATTGACAAAAGAGAGAAAGAGAGATAACCTCAATGTATTCGAGGGAAAGCTAATTGCAAGAGACAGATTAAAGTTCGGTCAAAGATTTGTATCAGAGTCAAAATGTGTTCCGGGTCGAGCCTCGTTGGAAAGGTCGTCTCCTCAGTAGTGCACGCCGTCGTTCCGACGTACGTTTATTTCGCGATCGATCCGTCTTTCGTGGCCCCGCGTACGCCCCATTTTTTTCCCTTTTTTCCTTCTTTTTTCCTCCTTTATTCCTTTGCACACGTCGACGAGTACGACGACGGAAACGACAACGACAACGACAACGACAACGACAACGACGACGACGACGAAGACGATGACGGAAACGGGAAAAGGGACGGGGACAACGACGACCGGAACGACGGGGACGACGTCAACGATGACGATAACGACGATAACGTCAACGAACAGCGTCAACGACGATGAGGATATTTTTTCCTCCTTTCCTCCCTTTCGGCTTATCACCTTCCTCCTCCTACTTATTCTTCTTCTTTTTCCTTCTTTTCTTTCTCTTCTTCTTCTTCTTCTTTTTCTTCTTCTTCTCCTTTTCCTCCTCCTCCTCCTACTCCTCCTTGACGGTGCTACGCACCACCGTACGCGCACGCACACTAGTAAGAAACAAACACACGATCGAGAAACACTGAGAGAAAGAAGGAAGGGAGAAGATCGAACTCTCTCTCTCTCTCTCTCTCTTTCTCTCTCTCTTTCTCTATCTGTCCGTCTCTCTCACTCTCTCTCTCTCTCTCTTTCTCTTTCTATCTATATCTCTTTCTATCTCTATCTTTCTCTCCCTCTATCTCTCTTTCTCTCTTTCTCTCTCTCTCTCTCTCTCTCTTTATTTCTCTCTCTCAACTACAATGACGACGACGACAACGACAACGACCACGGCTCCCGGCTTGATACTGGCCAAGACGCGAGACTCCTCTCGTCTCGCTCGGTCGAGACGGGACGGTCGGTCCGGTGGCCGACGACGATGGTGCGACGCCCCCGGCGCGCGACGACGCCGACGCCGACACAGTATACATTCGCGCAAGCGCCATAATCCATCCGAGGCACGCGCGCGCGCGCGTGCACCCTCTCTCGACTCTTCAGACAAACCACCACCTAACCGTGTATCGAGAAACCCGCGAGAGCGCTCCTTTTGAGGGTATTCCTGAAATCGTCTTTGAGAGATGACGATTTGAGAGCTTTATCTTTTTTCTCTCTTTCTTTTTTTTCCTTTTTTTAGTTTTATTTTTCTTCTCTTTTTTCTTTTTTTCTTTTTTTTTCTTTTTTTCTTGCTTTTTTTTTTCTTCTTTATTATACATTAACGTCACTCTTAACGACAATCCTTAATTTTTAATGTTTCATTCCGATGGCAATAATTATAGATATTATAGGTATTGTTTGTGTATATGTGTATCGCCCTAGTTTAGCTTATTTATATACATATATATATATATATATATATATATATATATGTATACATACTTATATAATATATATGTAAGGTAATATTTTTATATGAAATGACAAGCTATGGAAGTAGAAATAAAGAGAATTTTCAGCTAATAAGAATTTGAAAAAGATAATAAACTCGGGAAAGGGACAGGGGACACTTGCTTCGAAGGGGATATAAAAGGACCTCAAGGGACAGTTTTTTCATTCCGTCGAAGGTTGAATCGATCCAAAGGCCGACCAACCTGTCTTGAGTAATGCCTTCCGCTTAGATTGATGATCGGGAAAACAAAATGTCGATAATGAAAGTATTGTGGTGATCATATAATAATTATGGTAATAGTCGTAGTAATAACAATAATAATAATAATAAGCTACGCTCGCATTTCCATAAAAAAAAAAAAAGATTCAAGTTTCCCATAAGAAGAAGATCCAAGTTTTTGAGAGAGAAAAATATTCTATAGAAGTTAATGGGGGTTGAAATTGTTTTTTGAATTACAGTTAAATTAGATACGTTATAGTTAATAATTAATATAATAAATATTTTTTAATTAGTAATTGCATTCGACAACTTAAAAACAGTCAAACTTTTATGAGGAAAAAATAGCACATAAAAGTAACAACAAAGACTTGCGGTTGTCAGTTCTACTTTTGTTTATGCTGTTTTAATAGAGTTCACCGCAAAATTTAATTTTCTGTTAAATAGTATGTCTGTTAACTTTTAAACCAACGAAGACGAGTTAACTGGTCATTAATATTCAAAATAATAATTTACATGCTCGCATTATAAATACATACATAAATAAAATTTTCCTCTATTCATAATTTCGTTATTCTATTTACAACGGAAACCAAAATTATTAATAACTATTATCAATTCTAATTATTTGCGTTATTCAACATTTTTTATTTGGTGGCACTTGATTTATATAGGAATTAATTTTTAAAATTTAGTAGCGCTGGTCATCGGTAACCAGCATAGCACTGTCAACATATTATATATATATATATATATATATATATTCGCTCTCTCACTCTACCTCTCTTTTGCCTCGAGATGAATAAATGTTCTGTTACATGTACTTTTTATTATTCCATTTCATATATTTTTATATAACAACTTTTATTCCGAAATACTATCTATGTAATTATTTATAATCCTTTTCCTGTAAAAATACAGAGTGAACTGAAAAGTTTTCAATTATTTTCTCGACGTCGAAACAGAAAGCATTCCCATATAAATAATACATTTAATTATTATACCACTTTGTCACGAGTACACATTATTGACAGCACATGAAGAAAAATTCTGTGTTGGAACGTATCTAATTTGTATAAATTATTCTTATAAATTTAACGCAAGCCTTCTAACCATCCCATTCACATCTCTCCTCTTGTGTTTAACGAGCCCAATACTATAAATACAATAAATTCCTTTATATATTTCTTTGTTAACCTTTGGTAAGGAGTAAATTCACGAGCGACTTACTACGAGCCGATAGAAGACAACTCGAGCAGGAGATGCTCGAAAGAGAAGAAGAAAGAGAAGAAGAAGGAAAAACAGAATGAGAAGAAGAAGAAAAGAAGAAGTAGAAAAAGAAAAAGCAACTGGAATGGTGATTCCTGGGATAGCCGAGTCAACGAAAGGGATGGTAGGTGTCTGCCGTTGGGGTAGATATATTACCGGTCGTGTAACCATGAGACTGAGCAAGAAAAAGGGAGATAGAAAGAAAGAGAAAGAAAAAGGGAAGAGAGAGAGAGAGAGAGAGAGAGAGAGAGAGAGAGATAGAGTGAGAACTGTTCCTGAAAAGCACTGATCCGCGAGAACGATACAGCACGAACGAGCAAGATGGCTAACGTTCTTGCCAAGGCTCCTCTTCTCTACCTCTTATGTCTTTCTCTCGTTCGAAGGTAGAGACACGGACCAGCAAGAGATCGTACGCGTACGTCTCATCGTCTTTCATTTAAATTTGATCCCCTTCACGATCGACTTGCTCGACCGATGAAATTGTCCGACTTTCTTTCTCTGGATCTACCAAGAAACTGTATCGCATCAACGATGGAAAAGAGAGTTTGTCGCTATAGATACGAAGGAAGAAGGGCTTGTTTGCAGTGGAAACTTTTCCAATGGAGCGTTTCTCTTCGTGAGAAGTTTTTCGAAACGATCTCTCGCGGTTAACGAGAAAACAAAAGAATGAAGGAAAACATGGATGAGAGAAAATCGGAAGGATGGAAAGAGAGCGAAGAGTTTTCTCTCTTTCACTCTTTCTCTTTCTTTTTCTCTTTCTCCCTTTCTCTTTCTCTCTTTCTCTTTCTCTTTCTCTCCAGTTCTAGTATCTTACAGGCAAATTATACCAGAACATAACGTTTCTTTCTGCCCACGTTTCTTTCTCGTCCTTCTTTCGTAACCTTTCACGTCAACGACTATACGTTCTACGAAAAGCAAAATTTTCTTCTTCAACTAGAATAACCCTCCCCATCCAAAGAGGTTTCCCCTGGACGCTCAACGAACAATTAGTTTACGCTCGAGTAACGAGTAATGGCGGCCCTGCGAAATGGAAGAATATATAAACGGCAATAACCATGTCGCGCTGGGTAGATTCACTTAGCTGCGAGCGTCACGAACTTGAAAGCACTTCAGAGAAATAGAGAGGCGGATGCATCGGAAACCTTCAGCTTGGAGACAACTGAGAAGATGGCCACTTCTCTCTCGACTCACTCCTTCGAAACCTGGAAATTTTATTCCTTTGTCTGAAACTGATGTACGCGCTAGGTCTCTTTCCATCCTTCCCTTTCCTTCCTCTCTCTTTCTTTCTCTCTCTCTCTCTCTCTCTCTCTCTCTCTCTCTCTATCTCTATTACAATACCGATTCATTCTCACGTATCCTAAAGTTTGAAAGACGAAGGAAAACGTACGAATTAAAAATAAAATGGGTCAGTAATATCATTGCGTCTCTTCGTAAAAAAAAATCCAACTA